ACTTTAACGGACACGACAGTATCAATATCATGTACCTGTCGGATAATAAAGAGGGGGTAAAGTCAGCAATAAGTAGTGCGCGCGCCCTCAGAAATCTATTGCTGGCCGATTTGCGGCAAAATACGGCCGCGTAACATAATACCGATGATGTCACCAGATAGAGGACACTTTAAAGGACACGTCAGTATCAATATCATGTACCTGGGGGATAAGTAAGGAGGGGGTAAAGTCAGCAATAAGTAGAGGGCGCGCCCTCAAAAATCTATTGCTGGCCGATTTGCCGCAAAATACGACCGCGTAACATGAAACCGATAATGTCACCAGATACCCTGGTGTTATTATACTTAATAACATACGTCTAGACTGGTTGTTTATTTTACAATCCTTTTGTATGATCATATTTTACTGTTACAGTAAGTATTCGTTTTTTTTTTATAATGTGAGGTACTGAATTTCAAAAGGGGTAAAAAACGTACTGCTATTCAACAAACACCATGACTTATCAGTTTCCATCCACAATAGCCTACTCTTAAGCCTCTGTGTTGCTGTTGGCCCTAGTTAAGGCTACGAGCCTAAGAACGTAGGCCTATTTTTAATCTTACTTACTTACTTACTTACTTGAATCCTGCATCTTCGAAAAATCTAGTAATTTATCACAGTGTTCAACAAAATGCTACCATCCACAAAAAAAAAACCGCATAAAAGTGTAAATTATTCACGCAGTAACACTAGTAAAAGGCGAAAGATTACTGGAGATTATGAAAAGCTTCTCACTATCTATGCCTACAAAAAAAAGATTGATGAAAGATACACACAGATACAACAAATGCCATTTAACAAATGACATTTGTTAAACACAGCTGAACATGTACACAACACACACACACAGTGTGGGACAGCTGAAAGTGTATTTTGATTACACTTCAATGCGTTAGTTAATCTTATAATGTGATTAGTGGGGGTATTAATCACAGCGAAGTAAATATACACAATCACAATACATTTTTATTCATATTAGCACTCGATTTCACCAAATACAGTTGACCAGCCCAACCGATTTTACGAGTATTTATCACCGACGACACGACATAACCCATAACTGGTGTTTGTTTTGTTGACCGATGGCGATAACAGACGACAACATCGACAACTATGAACTATAGACCGGCTCAACAGGTGAATTTTGATCAGCTGTTGTCCAATTAGTACCTAAATTCACCGCTTGAGCGCGTAAGCCTCGAGCGGACTGAAATGAAGGATTTTTACTTCAAGACAGAATTAATTTTTAGTTGCCATTTTTAGTTGGCTTGGCACGCCGTCTTCGAAGTAACTTCGTCGTTACACTCGTCCGTCGTATCCGCTTACACGAAAATCGACGATTCGTTTACTGAAGGTTAGATACTAGTTAGGCCTTTTTTGTTTGTTTACTTTACTCTCATTCATCACGGTCATTTACGTTTGCTGCAACATTCGATTAGAAATATCTAAATTGAAAAACTAAAAATGTTTTATTTTATTTCATTTTCCACGGTAATGCCATTTACACTAATACAATCAGTTAAGATTATATAAGCTCCAAGACTGACTTCAACTATACAACAAAACAACATTTCATCAGCAATTGCATCAATACAATCAATCAACAATAACAGCTATAAAAATATGACATACAATAACAATAACAATGCAGAATGACCATGAATAACCATAACAATGCATAAAGAATATTAATAACAATAACAATCATAATAATATATGTATATCTGAACCATTTAGCGTGGTATGTCTGAGGTTTAACTGTAATCTGATGATAGTAGTGTAGTTCCTCAAGTCTAAGGTGTAAACTGTATTTGGATGTATAAGTGTAATTGGGTGTGAATTAATTAATCGTGTAGAATTTTGTGTTAGGCTAGACTGTCGCTGTAGAGGTGAACATGAGTTGAGAATTCGTTTTTATGTTAATAAATTGATCATTCAAAGCCGTGACAACAGACAACTTACGACTAGACTGGTTGACGATCCTTTTGTATCACCAACTTTTACCATAAAGTATTAGGCCTATAATCCTATTATGCGCGGCCACTCAAGTCGCGCAGATTTTTTCGGGCGCGCGCACTACTTGTTGCTGACTTTACCCTCCCTTTCTTATCCCCCAGGTACATGATATTGATACTGTCGTGTCCGTTAGAGTGTCCTCTACCTGGTGACATTATCGGTTTCATGTTACGCGGTCGTATTTTGAGGCAAATCGGCCAGCAATAGATTTTTGAGGGCGCGCCCTCTACTTATTGCTGACTTTACCCCCCCTTACTTATCCCCCAGGTACATGATATTGATACTGACGTGTCCGTTAAAGTGTCCTCTATCGGGTGACATAATCGGTATTATGATACGCGGCCGTATTTTGCCGCAAATCGGCCAGCAATAGATTTTTTCGGGCGCGCGCACTACTTATGGCTGACTTTACCCCCCCTTTCTTATCCGCCAGGTACATGATATTGATACTGTCGTGTGCGTTAAAGTGTCCTCTATCTGGTGACATCATCGGTATTATGTTACGCGGCCGTATTTTGCCGCAAATCGGCGAGCAATAGATTTTTCGGGCGCGCGCTCTACTTATTGCTGACTCTACCTCCTCTTCCTTATCCGCCAGGTACATGATATTGATACTGTCGTGTCCGTTAGAGTGTCCTCTATCTGGTGACATTATCGGTTTCATGTTACTCGGTCGTATTTTGCCGCAAATCGGCCAGCAATAGATTTTTCGGGCGCGCGCACTACTTATGGCTGACTTTACCCCCCCTTTCTTATCCGCCAGGTACATGATATTGATACTGTCGTGTGCGTTAAAGTGTCCTCTATCTGGTGACATCATCGGTATTATGTTACGCGGCCGTATTTTGCCGCAAATCGGCGAGCAATAGATTTTTCGGGCGCGCGCTCTACTTATTGCTGACTTTACCTCCTCTTCCTTATCCGCCAGGTACATGATATTGATACTGTCGTGTGCGTTAAAGTGTCCTCTATCTGGTGACATCATCGGTATTATGTTACGCGGCCGTATTTTGCCGCAAATCGGCGAGCAATAGATTTTTCGGGCGCGCGCTCTACTTATTGCTGACTTTACCTCCTCTTCCTTATCCGCCAGGTACATGATATTGATACTGTCGTGTCCGTTAAAGTGTCCTCTATCTGGTGACATTATCGGTTTCATGTTACGCGGTCGTATTTTGCCGCAAATCGGCCAGCAATAGATTTTTCGGGCGCGCGCTCTACTTATTGCTGACTCTACCTCCTCTTCCTTATCCGCCAGGTACATGATATTGATACTGTCGTGTCCGTTAGAGTGTCCTCTATCTGGTGACATTATCGGTTTCATGTTACTCGGTCGTATTTTGCCGCAAATCGGCCAGCAATAGATTTTTCGGGCGCGCGCACTACTTATGGCTGACTTTACCCCCCCTTTCTTATCCGCCAGGTACATGATATTGATACTGTCGTGTGCGTTAAAGTGTCCTCTATCTGGTGACATCATCGGTATTATGTTATGCGGCCGTATTTTGCCGCAAATCGGCGAGCAATAGATTTTTCGGGCGCGCGCTCTACTTATTGCTGACTTTACCTCCTCTTCCTTATCCGCCAGGTACATGATATTGATACTGTCGTGTGCGTTAAAGTGTCCTCTATCTGGTGACATCATCGGTATTATGTTACGCGGCCGTATTTTGCCGCAAATCGGCGAGCAATAGATTTTTCGGGCGCGCGCTCTACTTATTGCTGACTTTACCTCCTCTTCCTTATCCGCCAGGTACATGATATTGATACTGTCGTGTCCGTTAAAGTGTCCTCTATCTGGTGACATTATCGGTTTCATGTTACGCGGTCGTATTTTGCCGCAAATCGGCCAGCAATAGATTTTTCGGGCGCGCGCTCTACTTATTGCTGACTCTACCTCCTCTTCCTTATCCGCCAGGTACATGATATTGATACTGTCGTGTCCGTTAGAGTGTCCTCTATCTGGTGACATTATCGGTTTCATGTTACTCGGTCGTATTTTGCCGCAAATCGGCCAGCAATAGATTTTTCGGGCGCGCGCACTACTTATGGCTGACTTTACCCCCCCTTTCTTATCCGCCAGGTACATGATATTGATACTGTCGTGTGCGTTAAAGTGTCCTCTATCTGGTGACATCATCGGTATTATGTTACGCGGCCGTATTTTGCCGCAAATCGGCGAGCAATAGATTTTTCGGGCGCGCGCTCTACTTATTGCTGACTTTACCTCCTCTTCCTTATCCGCCAGGTACATGATATTGATACTGTCGTGTGCGTTAAAGTGTCCTCTATCTGGTGACATCATCGGTATTATGTTACGCGGCCGTATTTTGCCGCAAATCGGCGAGCAATAGATTTTTCGGCCGCGCGCACTACTTATGGCTGGAGTTATTGCCAGGTTCACACCAATGATATAGTTTTATGTTGTAATTTGTGCACCATTCTTTTCATGTAAAAATCTAGTTTCTGGTTATATATAACTTAACTTTAATTACTAAAGGTTCCCATGTTCACCTTAATAACTTAAGTTATGCATAATTTTTACCAACTTCTAAGTTAACTTGAGGGCTGTCTCGACCAAGGGTTGGATAAGCCTAGAGCACAGAGGTGTGTGTATGATCAGAACACGGACATAAACATGAACAAATTCGTATTTCCATACCAATAGCTTTGGCTAGTGTAAGTTAATTTGAGGTTCATATTTACATAAAGTTCTGATTGTGTTCCTTAGACAAGTCCACCAATAAAAAACAGTAGAAAACTCTAGTACAATCAATCCTTAATGAAAAACATCTAGAATACCTAGGCCTAATTTGAAATTGCATCAAATAAGTGGGCTTTTAAATTTAAAAGGTTCGAGATCCTGGTTTTATTATGACCTGCATTATATTGTTGTTAGCAAATCTTAAAAAGGAAAACAAGCTACCTAACTTATACCATCTCACCTCTGTCACCTTCAAGTAGAAACATGTAACTTCAACAAATTCATTCAAGATATCAGTAAAATAATAACACTAATTTTCACCAAACAACGCCAAAACCCAAAAATTAGTTTCAAAACGCAATTCACTATGAGAAATTTATCAGTGACCTAAACAGTACCATAAAGAAAACATTACGTCACGAAGTCAATCAGCCTCAGCCATCTTGTCAGTCAAAGCAAAGTAGTAATCCACAGCTCGCTATATCGATAATCAGTTTTATCTTTATCACAGTATACTGCACTATATGACATGAACATAATTTGTGAAAACGCCTAGTTATGAAACCTTACATTATAAATGTAAGTAAATACTCCGAACGCAGCAAAACTATTCACTGAATTACTTTTAAGAATTTTTTCATGTTCTGGCTACAGTATATAAAACTAAAATTCAAAACATCGACGGTATGAGACTATGCAAAGGGGTAAAATCATAGCCTCCAAGCCTCCTCCCTCTAACATGGGATATTTCCTTGCATGTTTAGGGCGCAGTATATAACATACTCGACGGAGTTCATGTGGCAGCTAGGGGAGGTGACGGTGACGCATTCAACTCAATCTTCGCCGATACTGCTGCCTTCTGGGAGGCAGAACTCAAAAACCGCTAATTGCAATCATGTCAAATTTGGACAGTAAGTTAATTAAAGTATGTTCTTTCTAATTATGTAGTTATTTTTGGCCTTAGGTAAAAAAAATCCCCCTAAAACAAGTGGCCTCCGAATAATACCAAAGTAATGGTACGGTATTTCCTCAAGCATGAAATGGAATTTCAAGCATAACATCATAAATTCAATAGAAATCTTGGTTTGAGATATCTCCTAATGAGTTTTTAGGAAATAATCTGTCTGGTATGAACTTCTCTGGGCAATAAATAACCTTGACTCAGAGGTCAAAAAAGTTCCCATCAAAAAAGTACAAGTACATTACCCGGTTGGGTTGAGTCTAGTTCTGTATCCTTTCTCAAATTCTTCTAAATAGAAAAACAGGTGCGCGCTAGTCTACACAAAGTACACATTTTAGTCTGTTGTACTCTGTATCAACTATGTATATTTTTGTTTTATGTTTTTGGTTCGTTGAATGTAATACTATTTTCACCAGATCAGATAACGAATTTTCGAATTTTATTTGAAAAGATCGATTAGTCGGATATGACTTTAGAAGGTTATACAAAGAGTGCGGGAGAGACGTTTTGAGTTTAAACAGAAGTCCGACATGAATCCCCCATTTAAAGATGAAAACTATCACACACAGTTCTCCAACTTCGTCAATATACTAGCAGAATTTCCCACCCACGATTACCCAACCATTTGGTACACCTAGAAAAGTGGTTCATTCTACCATTTATTCAAAACGAACCCTATCTATTTTTGAATGAGATGTTTTTTTTAGGTGAGGTTTATTATAATGAACAATCTTGTATGGGCTCCACTCCCCCAGGACTCGTCAAATTGTTCACACTACGAATAGACAATTGCACATATATACACGAACATAAAAAACGTCCTTGGATTATTCTGATGTTTCGCGGGACCAAAATAACGTCCAACTTCCTCAAGGAATTTAAACTTTATTTCTCTCGCGCACGCGAGCCGGATACCTAAACCACGACTGCCGGATCAGCTGTTCCCTGTTTCTGGTGAATGGTGATGGGAGGAAGGCAGGGGGCCGGGTTGGTGGACGTACTGGTTTACTGGTTATTGCAGTTGTAGATAAACCTTTCATTTTTGCTGTATCTCTCAGCTGTTCTAGTTCTCCTTTTATTACTTGTAAATAAACCATAAAACGTGATCGCTCTGCTCAGCTCAACTGGCTTTCGCTGCTATTAAAGCAATCCTAGTTATTTTTTTACTTTTTATTTTGCTCCGCTCAGCTCAACTGGTCTTCGCTGCTATAAAAGCAATCCTAGTTAAGTTTCTACTTTTTTTTATCGGTCCGAGCAAAGGTCTTCACTCCTTTTGTTTTTCGAATACCTGGCCTCCGTTATGTAACCCGGACGAAATTTAGCACAGCCATAGTAACCAACTATAGAAAGGTATACTCTGAAATGGCACAACATTCTCCCTAATAAATTTTAAGTTTTTTAAATGTATCATATGGGCCTTAAGAGTTGCGTGAGCACTTTTTTGTCTAAAAACGCCGTGGCGCGCCGTGCGATTTTGCGACTATCGTTAATCGTTCGTTACTCTATCGAATCACGACATTATCTCATCCATCTCATCTATCGATATGCGATTGTAGTTGTCGTTTATCACAGATCCTGTCAGAGGCTTATTGTGATACGGACGAAATGAGAGCATTCCATTATAAAATTAAACTGTCATAACCTAACCTAATTAACTAACCAAACTTGCTAATAATGGAAAAATCGAATGAAGGTATACTACGGACGAAATGAGGGCATTCTATTATAAAATTAAACTGTCCTAACATAATCTAAACTTACCAAACTTGCTGATAATATAACAAATATATAACTTAAGAGAAAAATCGAATGAATGTTTATACTAATCTAAAATATAGTTCTGTTCATAAAATAAAATGATAAATTCCTCAAATTTTAACAAAAGATGCACAGTTAAGAAGTAATCGCATTCTAAGCAGAATCTTTGACAAAAAGTTAGTGCCACCGGTAGGTTTCGAACCAGCTACCTCTTGGATATCAGCCCAATGCTCTATCCATTATACCACGAACACCGATGACCAGTGGCGGCTAAGGGGGGGAGCCTAGCCCCCCCCCCCGAGATATGAGGATTAACATTCTTTATGGTTAAGTTAGAAAATTTTATTTAATCAAATTAATAGGAACCTCAAAAAGACACCCTAAATTTTAACTTTTTATGTGGTGAGAAATAACGTCTTACTATTGCCAAAAAGGTGCTGGAGCTCTCAATAGACAAAGTCAAGTTCTTGACTTCGTCTGTGAGAAGACTTGAGTTAGAGGTGGCTGTGGTTATATGCTACAAACCAGCAATTCGTTTAGGATCCTAGGTACACAGTACACACACATTTAGGGGTTGGATCAGTCTGTTCCTTTCTTTTACCTCATGTCAGCTATTTTCCATAATTTGTAAAGGTGAAATTCTTACATGGGATAGAATTCGTAAATTAGCCGATTACAAGGTCCTTCAAGTATGTTCATCGTGTTCACTGAATCCATAATTCCTTTCATGTTGATTTCCAAATAGCCTAAAATACGTCTTTGGAGCTTATATTTTTTCAAAAATTTTCCACCTACACACTGAGGGGCATTCCATACCCCCCAGACCACCCGGCAGCCCCCCACATTTTGGGGCCTAGATCCGCCTATGTCGATGACAGGACCACGTACTGTTGTAATGGTGTTCATTACGTTCATTCAACAATCAATCGATTGAATCGAACCAATTTATCCAAAATAATATCGATACCTAGTATTTTTATATTGAACCGATTGTATAGGCGTCTTTGTACGAAAAAATCCTCACCTATGAGTTGATTGGTTGCCATGACGTTTTGCATAATAAAATGTTGTAACATGTTTATTAACAAGTAAATTTATACAAGCACATTATAAATACGGAACAAAAGGAAGTAAGAACAATCGGATTAATACCGTTGGGATAATAAACAACAAAATGAAAAACCAATTAGAGCATCTTGACATCCCACTTGTATAAGCCTGATGAACCATTGACTTTGGATACTGTAAGTAGACATTCCATTTTAAGTAAACCAGATACCAGATGTACCACTGACTTTGGATACTACAAGTAAATATTATTTTATGTGAACCCAAGCCCCTTGGGAAAAATTAATTTGTGGTTACATTTCTCATAAGTATTGGATTAATAAGCTTTCTCCGCTCAATATTGCAATCATAGAACTGTATTGTACATCTAGTTAGTTAAGTGTGTTAATAATCACTAGTGCACCTGTTGCTCAAATTCGAGCAATTGCAAAGTATTACGGGCGTTATTTCAAAATGAGTAACAGTCATAATTTCCTATGACTTAAGTGGGTTTTCCTAGGCGCGGAAGCAGAGAGAGGAACACAGAGAGCGGACTCCTCTTAGTCCAGGACCTGACTAGGGTCCTGTGTGCATGTCGTGTATAGAGAATTTTGCTTTTGCATTTCAATATAGGTGTCTTAGGAAGTGTTTTTCACTCGGGTGTCAAGTTCGCACCTGGTACGTTTTCGAGCTATGACGTCATCAAGATGGCGGCTCGGCAATTTTTAAATGCGTATATTTCGCAAACCGTTTAACGGATCGGGATGATTCTTTTTTTGTTTGAAAGATATTTTTACAAACTATCTTTTTTGTATTTACACATTTGTTGTAAACTTAATATTCACCGCACAATATTGAAAAACGTCGTTTTTATTGTTATTATATTTATTGTTTTGCTTATAACTTCTTAACCGCTGATAAAATCAAATACCACCCGTTGCAAAAGTTGTAGATAATTCTATACCCTTTCCAATGATACCAAACAATATGTGATTAGACCTAAAAATAAAGCAAAGATATTGAATAAACCGTAAAAAAAAACACTGAAAGTGGTGTACGGTCCAGGAAAGATTAGTCCTGGACATGACTAGGGTTCTGTGTGCATGTCGTGTATAGAGAATTTGGCTTTTGCATTTCAATATAGGTGCCTTAGGAAGTGTTTTCCACTCGGGTGTCAAGTCCGCGCCTGTTTCGTTTTCCAGCTATGACGTCATCAAAATGGCGGCTAGGGCAATTTTTAAATGCGTATATTTCGCATACCGTTTAACGGATCGGGGTGATTCTTTTTTTGTTTGAAAGATAATTTTACAGGAAATGTTTTTTTGTATTTACACTTTTGTTGTCAACTTAATATTTATCTCACAATATTAAAAAACGTGGTTTTTAATATCATTGTTTTTGAATTTGTCCTCATAACTTGTTAAACGCTTATAGAATGAAATAACTACCCATTACAAAAGTTCTAGATAACTTTATGCCCTTTCCAACGATACCAAACAATTAATATTTCAAACTAAAATTTAAGCCAAGAGATTAAATAAACCGTTAACAAACACTTAAAATGGTAGGTAGTCCGGAAAATATTGCGGCTGGAACAATTTTTCAAATGCATATATTTCACGTACCGTTTAACGAACCAAACCTATAGCCTATCTTTTTTGTATTTCCACTTTTGTTGTTAACCTACTATTTATCCCACAATATTAAAAAATGTACATTTAATTGTTATTTTTATTTTACTTTTGCTTATAACTTTTTGACAAATAGTAGGTTAACAACAAAGGTGTAAACACAAAAAAGATAGGCTTAAAAAATATCTTACAAACAAAAAAAGAATCATCCCGGTTCGTTAACCAGTATGCGAAATATACGCATTTAAAGAATTGTTCCAGCCGCAATATTTTCCGGACTTTCCACCATGTTAAGTGTTTGTTAACGGTTTATTTAATCTCTTGGCTTTAATTTTAGTTTCAAACATTAATTGTTTGGTATCGTTGAAAAGGGCATAAAATTATCTACAACTATTGTAATGGGTGTTATTTCATTATATAAGCGTTTAACAAGTTATGAGGACAAATTCAAAAACAATGATATTAAAAACCACGTTTTTTAATATTGTGAGATAAATATTAAGTTGACAACAAAAGTGTAAATACAAAAAACATTTCCTGTAAAATTATCTTTCAAACAAAAAAAGAATCACCCCGATCCGTTAAACGGTATGCGAAATATACGCATTTAAAAATTGCCCTAGCCGCCATTTTGATGACGTCATAGCTGGAAAACGAAACAGGCGCGGACTTGACACCCGAGTGGAAAACACTTCCTAAGGCACCTATATTGAAATGCAAAAGCCAAATTCTCTATACACGACATGCACACAGAACCCTAGTCATGTCCAGGACTAATCTTTCCCGGACCGTACACCACTTTCAGTGTTTTTTTACGGTTTATTCAATATCTTTGCTTTATTTTTAGGTCTAATCACATATTGTTTGGTATCATTGGAAAGGGTATAGAATTATCTACAACTTTTGCAACAGGTGGTATTTGATTTTATCAGCGGTTAAGAAGTTATAAGCAAAACAATAAATATAATAACAATAAAAACGACGTTTTTCAATATTGTGCGGTGAATATTAAGTTTACAACAAATGTGTAAATACAAAAAAGATAGTTTGTAAAAATATCTTTCAAACAAAAAAAGAATCATCCCGATCCGTTAAACGGTTTGCGAAATATACGCATTTAAAAATTGCCGAGCCGCCATCTTGATGACGTCATAGCTCGAAAACGTACCAGGTGCGAACTTGACACCCGAGTGAAAAACACTTCCTAAGACACCTATATTGAAATGCAAAAGCAAAATTCTCTATACACGACATGCACACAGAACCCTAGTCAGGTCCTGGACTATCTTGTCTTAGGTAATTTAATGTTACTGTTTTCCTAGAAGCGGAGCGGAGCACCATGATAAATCGTTTTTCCGCCCTCCACTGTCTGTGCTCCTCTTCCGCGCTTCTTACCATTGGCTATTAGTAGTCAAAGGTTATGTATAGCAAAACATTAAAAAAAGACACAGTAGATATTTTTTATAAACACATTTTTGACAAAACAAGGGCATAAAACTATAAATTTAAATTTTAGAGATCATATAGAAAAACTATGACATTTTATTGTACAAATTGCTAATGTAAAACAAAATGCTGTAAATGTTCATTAACTATCCAACGAGGTTTAGATGCTACTGTTGGTTGTGGGTTCATTTGGGAAGTACCAAATAAATTTTAGTAGAGTAATGAACAACAGATTTACAAAATAAAAGTTCAAATTTATTGAAACAAAATGTGCTTAAGTTAGTTTGCATATTAGAAAAACCTTGAGATTTTGTACAAACATGAAACTCATATAGTAATGTAATTTGTGGATGAATTAAAAATGTTTTTACATTAATGGCAAGAGACGATTCTTCTTTTGTATTACAACAAGGTAATTCCTTCATATCTGTACGAATGGAAAGGAATATTCTTGGTTGCTCATATACAGGTAAACCTACTAGAATAGACTTTTAGTGGATTGACTCTAGCTTATTTCTCTTAATCAGATTTTTACAATGAATTTTATACAACTATACAGGGTGTCCCGTAAGTAAACAGCCAAACTCCAGGAAATGGTTCTAAGGGTCAAAATGAAGAGAAATCAACAATACATTTTTTTCCTAAATCGCTTTGTTAACCAGATATCTACAATTTTGTATTCTTTACACAAATATTTTTATTTTTAGATTTTTTCAACTGATCTTTATAAAACTTAGTATGTAGGTTAAGGTAGAAGGGACCCATGTTATAAAAAAAATTCATCCCAGTCTGACCAGTATTTTTCGTGTTTACTTGTCACAAACATACATACATCCAAACTTTCTCATTTATTGAGCGAAGCTCTTTGGGATCAACTTCAATGCAACAAATAGAGAAACATCACTCAATAACGGCTGAACTCACTTCAGCCAAACTTAACAAAATAACTTAGACTAATAGTGAGATGGTTTTTAAACATACAAATTTCAACTAGATAATGCTTATGCAATTTAAAACGAACTTAATTTCCAATATTTAACATTAGGCTTATGGGGCTAAATTAGCCATGACAGTTTTTTTGTTTACAATTAAATTGTAAACAAGAGAATCATAAGGTATTTCTGAACTTTCTAGACTTTTCTTTTAAACGTTTTTAAACCATTCCTATGATTTTAATAAACAAGAGAATGTCGTTAAAACATTTTTTTAAGGCGCGGAATTCACTAAAAGTTGAGAAAATATACGGAACTAATTTCTCAATGCGCGGAGCATAAACAAGGAGCGGAGGGATACGGACCGGTGACTACTTTCTTGGGAACCTATTTCTGTTGCCAGCTGATTAGAAACAGCCAATGTTAGAAATCAGGATTTAATAAGCGATATATCAAACCGCATCGAAATCGATATTTAATCCGATAATACCTCACAGGTTATATTATGTTGAATTACATCGATGGTGCAGTAAGTTTTACACTTATTAATCAAAACTCAGATTGAACACTGATCTAATTTAGGCAAGTAGGGAAGGTAGATCGGGGTTTATGAGTATTCGTGACTTCATTAAGTGTTTTGAAGTAAGGTTAGATTAGGAAGGTATACCGTCAAGCGGGGTAATTCTGACCCCCCAGGGGTAACATTGACCCCGGGGTCAATTATTTTTATTATATTCTTTTTTAAATAGTAGGTTATAAATAAATTGAAAATAAAAATATGATAAATTTCAGTAGTTTGGTCAGGGCCGCATTTAGCCAAACGGCGCCCCTAGGCACACAAAACAGTTGCGCCCTCCCTGCCGTAATATTGGTCGCGAAACGTAAATAATGTCACAATCATTATCATTGAGTTGCATATACAAGGATAATCCGTTGATATTTTAAATAAATAAACTCCTGTAAAATGTATAATATTGTATTAAACTTTGCATAAATTGGCGTATGACCTGTCCCTATACTACACCTCTAATGAGATTAACTGAACCATGATAAATACTTTCCGTCAGAAAATCTTAATCATGTAAAATGTAGAAGTGGAACATTTACAATACAATATTGTTTTATTGTGTTACACGTAGAATACCTTTATGATGGACAACATTCATGTCCCAAAACATCATTAAAATTGTCGTTATTTAAATATTTCATCATCTCTAAGCAAAATAACGGCATGATTCAACAGTGTTTACTAACATAACAAAGCATATAAACAGAACGACTCAACAGGTTAGTTAACAGGAGAGAATTACACAGCTGAATAATTTTGGCAGTCGCTGCAGGGATGTCGTCGGGACTACCGCAAAACGACATATCACACGCAAAAGAGCAGGTTATCCCCACTGAGCTATTATAATAACTGGAGTCACCACTCTGTGTTTAAAAAACGTTTGCGCCCCCTAAAATTTGGCGCCCTAGGCCTGGGCCTTGTGGGCCTAATGGGAAATGCGGTACTGAGTTTGGTAGCAATTTGAAAACAAATAATATTTAGCAGAAATTAGTTTTATAACAATACAAAAAAATTATAATACAATCATCTACAATACAGCTGTATAATTTCATAACAAAAAACTTTTTCAGCCCAGCAAAAACTGATGGTTCTGGCACTGTCAGGATTTTATATGGTAAAATATATATGTTTTTAGGAATATTTGAGCACTTATTATTACAAGCAAATAAAGAAAATTAAATAAATTAATAATTATTTTTTAAGGCCTTGTAACATTGACCCCTTATTTTTTTTGCCTTCAGATAACTTTGACCCCTCGTTATAATTCCAAGTTACTAATTAGTAATTAGCCTACACATCATTTTTATTAATTCTGGTATATTTAATTTAATTGATTTATGTATATAATGTAATAGACCTACTAAAAATGTTGATTTATAATTGTTTTATTTTTATCTATGAAGTTGAGGTAAAAGCAATCTGTGGAAAGCGAGGAAAACAACACTTTAACCAGGTCTTTGCCTGTTAAGTTAAAAAAATCAACAGTTTGTTGAAGTAATGTGACTTAATTCTGTTGACACTAACTATGGGGACAAATTTACATCCAAAAGAAAATTATGTGTTTTCTATTCTGCCCCATCTGTAGATCTGATTGGTAAGTAGCCGGGAACTCTGGAATCTAATGGGCGCAAAATTTTCTATAACTTTTTTGGAAGGGTTTGAGTAAAGGAAATTTAATAATTTTAGTCACTAATAACTTGTAGTTTTGATGTTTTACCTTGGTGTTACATCCTAATCATGTGATAAAAAAAATTGCTAATTTGATTTATTCCATCATTATAGCCTAGGTGAGTTCATACAAAAATTTTTATGTTCACTCCTTGATGTTGTTACCACTCAATTGTTCTTAAGTAACATTGACCCCTTTTACAGGGGTCAAAGTTTCATTGTACACTAGTAACATTGACCCCAGTGCTTTATTATGTATAATTTTAGTATAATAAATGTAGGGGGTCAATGTCACCCCAAGACACGGGGTAACATTGACCCCTTTTATAATTTTTTTTTATGACTAACATATGACAATAAAAAACAAAATAATACTGGTTGGCATTCACACAGTACCTGTATATAATTTAAAAAATATATTGTGAATATTAATCAATATAAACAAAAATTAATCAACAAAAACATCAAAAAAGGGGTCAATCTAACCCCGGTTGACGGTAGTGTAGGTTATAGATAGGTGATCGGGTTGTTTATTTGTGTTGCATCATATTATTTTTATCTTTTGGAATAGTTGGTTTAACAGGGAAACGATTTCAAAAATGATTGCATTATGGTCATCTACAGTATTCTAGCATTGACTTTATATAAAGTCAATGATTCTAGCAAATTACTACATAAAAACCAAATGAAAAGAACATTTGGATTTGGACCTTTGACCATAGCAAAACTATACGTAAATATCAAATCACGTTTGTTCCGCTCAACTGGCTTTCACCTCTCTGAAAGCAACCCTAGTAATATTAGTAGGATGTCTATATAATTCAGTGTTTTATTTCAGCAACAAAAATGTTACAATGGGTTAGAAAATACTTGAAACTAAACAACTGGAGTTACTAAAGCATTTTACAGCCCTGTATTATTTTATGAAACCATTTCGGTTGCCCTGAATTTGGTTAACAGGGGGTACTGTATTTCATATGACAGAGTAAATAAATAGTTATAAAAATATAAACATCTTTTGAATATAAATTTATTAAATATTTCTAAACATTATTTTTGCTTTTATTTAAATAGTAAAATAGAAAAATCACTAGGCCTCTGAATCACATTATGGTCATAAAGCTTAGGCTAATAATTAATTATTGAAAGCAATAAGTTAGTTGTACTATTATATCCATCCCAGTCTCAGGCAAGTAACATATCAAGTCAACATGGTGATTATGTTCTTCCAGCCTCCACATCTGGACTCATCTGTAAACAAAAGAAAATGCTTCTTGTAATATCTTATAAATTTGAAACATGGAAAGGTTTTTGCCTCAAGATTCTGTATCAATCACTTCCACTTGACAGATTATCCTGATTCTTCTTTTGAAAGAAATAAAAGTTTTAAAGAGGAAGGGAATCTCAAAGTCAACATTTCAACTTTGTGTCTCAGTTTTTAAGAAGTTTCATTTAAAACTTTGAAAAGTTTAGCAGACGCAAACCTTTTGTATTACTTTAGTGCTATATAAATTGGTATAACTATAGTCTGTTCACAAAATTTAGACAGTTTAAGGGGAAGCTTTCTTGCTTCCCCCCACCACCTTTTTTAGCTCAATCCACATATCAGCTGTTGTTTTAAGTTCATGGTGATGTGAAGGGGATGAAATCACTTTCCCTCAAACCATCTAAATTTAGTGAACGGAATATTTCAATTTGTTTCATCTGCTTTTTACTACAATATTTCACTAAACAAGACATATTCCCCATTTAAATTATTAGATTTGACAAATGCTTAGGTTTGCTGCTATGGGAAAGGTAAAAGTGTTTTTTAACCAAACATTAATATGATAATTTCAATGAATTTGCCAGTTGACACGAATTTGATCATCATTACATCCACAAACAAGAAGTAAACTACAACAGTCTTCTTTTTCTACGTAAGAATAACATGGGAATTAAAATGTACAGTATGAATACATATTTATAATACCCCCGCTGCAGCAAACCTGCAGACTAAGCGAATTTCAACTTGTCTGATTACATTTTCACTAAAATATTTCCATAAATAAGACATATTTATTCCCAATTTAAATAACATTAGATTTAACAAGTGCTTAGGTTTGCTGCTACGGGGAAGGTAAAAAGTGTTTTTTGACCATATGTCAATAGTATAGGATGAAACAGTTTTCATTTTCTCCACAAGAATAACATGGGAATTTTAATTCACACTTTTTTTTAATTTTCTCCGTGACCGTTAGGCATACAACAGCGCTTCAATATACTAAATTATTTCTTTTTTTAAGCTCTACAAAATGTTTGAGAAAGAAATTGCAAAATTTTTGGTTTTTAGGGTAAAAAATGGGGAAAACCCATTTTTACCCCATAAAACCCCCCATAAACCACTGTTCCCATGGTCCGATTATGCTGGTTCGCGAACTCGTTCGAATAAACGTAGGTTTACACGTTTGTACCAAATTTCATCAAAATCGGATCATTTTTGCTCAAGTTATCGCGCTAACGGACATATATATATATATATATATATGAATTTGAACGGATGGTGTTTTTGGTCTCTGGGGACCTCAAAATGAAAAAGTAAATCGGTCCCGGGTCTAGGTCTTACCATGAGACCTACGGTAATAGCTTATTCCCTATATGGGAAATTCGCTAAAAAATGAACAAATAGGATTTCCAGTCTCTGGGAACATCCCAACGGAATGAAAAAGTATATTGGTCCCAGGTCTAAGTCTTACCGTACCACCTAATAGCTACTTCCCTATAGGGAAATTCGCCAAAAAGAAGAATCAGCTATTTAGAGAAAGATTCTTTCTGCAAACTGTCACTGATAATATGTTTATGTAATTAGGGACGTTACGATACCACAAATCCACTCCATTATTTGGTTTCCACCCCACTTGGTACATAATACTTTAGTGGAACTGCAGTGTCGATACCAATAGAATATCACAACAAAGTAACTTAAAATATTGATACCATAAGTACAAATCGGAGCAACTTCGTTTAGTTCTAGGCAAGAATTATTTAAAATGTTATGCTATATATAGTTTGTTACTAATTCATAAGATTTCATAACTGCCATAGATCATTGGACTCTTGGGTTTATAAGAATTTTCAAATTTCACAACCTGGAATCTGTTGGGTATGCTGTTATGGAATAAAGCTGATGTCTACAATATGACTTTCATTTCTAGATATTTTTTCATTTACAATAAAGTTTTGAATAACAGTACACAAAAGCCCTTAGTTGTCAAATATTGCTTACCGATTGTCTTTTGTTGACGTAAATTCTATGAGCCACATATGCAATGGCGCAGACTACCAATATTGTTCCAATGAGAGATGGTATCAAACTACCAAATATGAATGAGATTATAAGCGTAATAATTATAATCACAATTACCACTGCCAACACACGTAGCGCCCGCTGTTTTTTTTGTTCGTCACTAAAATCCATGGCAAAAGTATTTCTGAAAAAAACCTTTAAATTGGTAAACAGAATACAAGAAGACATTGTGATAAAACACATAAAAAATCAAATACTGTACAAAAAAACCCTTGATTTCCTTAACTTGATTACCTAACATTATCACCCTGCCAATGGGGGTGGCTTGGTTACTAAAGAGCTCAACTGAATTTGGTTTCTAGTGAAATAAGGAGATTTAAAAATTGTATATATTATGTTAATGGGCGAGTTCTGGGAACTTTGTGCAGATGTACCGGTGACTTAATCACCGTCACCAGCCCGGGGCAAGAGTCTTGTGCTCCCAGAACGTTTAGCCGCCGGTTAACCGCCATCTTGCTGCAGACTGGAGTCCAAGAAACTGAACAATCAGACGCCGCCGGTGTATTAATGCACTGTACAATTTCTACGATGCATTTTCTGCACTGGTTAGTGTTCCCATAACATGCTTGATAATGATAACAGATTTCTATTTATTTCATGGAAAATTTAATCAAGATCAGTTAGTTTAGTGTTGTTTTTTTATGAAAGAGGATGTTGTAAGAATTGTTCAAATAAAATACTGCAAATACTTGCACTGAATACTGATTTTTTTGTTAGTTATTTGTATCATTAATAAAGAAATCAATAAAGAAGTAGGGGTAATGCTTTAAGAAAATAATGATGAATAAATTGAGGCCGAACTTGCAAAGCAGGATGAGTACAAGTTTTGGAACAATTAGGCCCAAATAAAAGAAGAGTAAGTAAGTTGTTGTATTTTGTATTAAGAGTAAGTAACTCACGACGATGACCTCGTTCTCTCAGCAATTCTGTGCGGTAAGTAATAAAAGTATTTCATTAGACTACCTAAGCAAAACACAGTGAGATTTCCAAAAGTCAAATTGATCAAATTTGGCAGAGATCCAAAGGAATGGCTGCAATTTTGGAGTTTTTTTTTTCAAACCAAAGATAAGTTAGGGAACCAACCTCAAGAGTCTTCTTCACCCCTACAAAAACAATAAAAACATGTCTTGGAAGTCCCTTGCTCCTGATGAAATTTGTAAAGATCTAATATTAAAACCTTTTCCCCATACAGACTAACATTGGTTCTAGAGCCCTCATACCTGATATAGGTCTATCCAAGAAAATCAATAATTGTATGAGTAGGCTACCTACAAAAAAAATCTTAAAAGTTACATAAATTCAGTTACTTTAATTACTTAAATTGAGTTAAGTTACTTAAGTTGAGTACTTAACATTGATACAACTTTTTTATTATTTTCATTTTTTTGAGGTAACTTCGAAAGGGGGACAAAATTAACATGTTTTGTGGGAAGGCTAATTGCGCTACTAGCCTTTTACAAATTTGGCCCAGCCGGCAGATGAGTCACCAACGCGTTGTGTGTTTACGATGTTTTCAGAATGGCACGCATCGCATAATGACCCCACGCTACTCGCCCGTCATCACCACCTTCCACCCCAAGGCCATCCCCAAACATCGAGTGTGAAGAAGACTCTTAAATGCTACATAGAAGTTCCAATACTCATTAACAAATCTGATTTCTAGGTCTAGAGCATGTGAAAAAGACAGAAAGGCGTCCTTATGTAAAGAGTTTTCCACCAACAGCATTATCTTAAGGCTCTAATGGAACTTAAGGTAGCCTACTACATTTTGGTGATGCAGACTTCCAGTATAAGTATATGTTAGGGAGGTGCTGGCTTTGGAATTAAAAAACACAGAACTAGAACATCATTTGTCTCTAATGCAGTTTCACAAAAAATTGGAATGTCAATTGCAAGCCTTGGAAACAATAGAGAGGTAACAGCAGATACATCTTGTGTTTTGTTGCCTTAAGTAGAGTCCTGCTTACTAGATGACTAAGTTAATGATCTTGGCAGACATGCAGTCATTGAAGAGATTGTGGGGGTTCATGAAATCAGAAGTCGAAGGTAAAGAAAAAAAAGGTTGTTTTAAATCTACTTCAGGCACATATTCAAATTTTGTAGTAGCCTTTAGGCCTGGCGCACACGGTTGATTTTTCGATCGGCCGTATAAAAAATCGGTCAAAAATAAATCGCCCTTGATTTATGTCCAGGCGCACACGTGGCCTAGTTGAAAAATGGATTTTTTGAGTGCGTTTAAGCTATCCTAAAATGAACTTTGTTGAATTAACCTGTGTTTGTGCTCTTCTAATTAGATCAAAGAAAAAAAGAAGACAACTTAAAATATTGGGTTCATCCGATAGTAAGTCAGAGACTTTTAAATCGACAGTTTTATAAACTAGCCTATACACTTTACGTGATAACAGTAAAACGTTCTTTAATTACTATAGAATGTCTGTTGAAAGTTTCAGTTTTTATTATAACAGCTGTGGCCTTTTTTAGCAAAGAAAACAACACAACTCACACTGAAGTTCACTGACTCCTGTTGAGAACAACAAGCGACTGGGCGATTTTTTAGTCAACCGTGTGCACAGACTGATAAACAATCTGTAAGTTACAGATTTTCGGGCGACAATCGCCTCGCCTACGAATCTGTAGCAACACCCAGATTTTAAAATCGGCACAATTCTTGATCGCCTGTGTGCACGCTTCCATTCAAATACATGATGCACAGATCGGCCGATGAAATAGTCGCCTCAAAATAATCGCTCGTGTGCGCCTAGCCTTATACTTGGTAGTTACTTGTTACCACAAAGACACTACTTTGATGTGTGATAAAGAACAAGGATTGCAAGAAAAATCAAACAAATGTAGGCCTACCGGTACCGGTAATAAGGTCAAAGATCTATCTAATTTAGTAACAAACAAAATCACAGATTTAGATGCAGACAATTAGTCAATCTGGTCCAATAAGGTTTGATCCTTCCTTTTAGAGACTTAAGTTAATTGATAGCCTAATGATTAAATTAACCTAAAATTTGATGGGATCTTATTCTTGAGTACACAGCTTCCAAAAGTACACTGCCACTGAACCAGATGGTTGTCACGCCATGTAGTTAAACGCAAGCTCACCATCAATGACTATACCACCATTCAGTACAAATAGATCAGCTGTTGCACTGTTAATCGTTTACAATCTGGATTGTTGATTAGACAATGTTTAAGTTAAGTTATGTTTATTGTGACAGCGTTTTAAACACACTTATCTAGGGATTCCAGACGTCCTCTTTTTCCCGGACACGTCCTCTTTTTGGGTACAAAAAAAACGTCCGGGGGGATTTTTGGCAATACTTTCAAATGTCCGGGATTTTGACTTTGTGAGAAAATAAAAAAATATTTCTGCAAGTATTAATATTAGCAATCAGCTTTTATAATTATAGATACAAGATAATTATCGTCATCATAACATTAAACTTAGTTAAAATACTACACTTTAATAATATCTTTTATATAAAAGTGTCATTTCCTCTTTCTTTAGGTCAAATTTCGTGTATAACGTACGCTAGAATCCATTGGAAATACTGTAGAACAAAACAGAACGGAAGGCAAAACTGAATAACTCTGCTCACTAGTAGCCAGTTTGCCAGGCCAGTAGCATACTAGCGACCGTCGGCCGTCGACCAGTGACTAGCTCTTCATCTGCTTACTTGCTTACTTTACGTTACATGTTACATGCCTACTTAAAAAATAATTATCTTACTTTTTAATTTGTCCGTGTTGATCGTCCCTAGGGCCTACCCTAATGCCGAAAAGAAAATGTGTATTTTCAGAAAAGTTTAAAGAAAAGTTTACTTATTTTAAGCGTGGTCGACATGAACTGTTGCTTGCTGGGCAGGTATAATGCAGTCGTGTTGGGTGCTAGTTCTTAAATACTTTAGCATGCACATTGGCACCAGGGTGTTTTTGTAAATCAAACATGCTTGAATGTGTTGTAATGTTGCGGTATTCCTTTGATATTAAAACCACAAGTCTCAATAAAAAAAACAAAAAAAAACATGACATTATACGAGTACAAGTTTATTTTTTTAACATTTCTTGACCTTTAAAAAATAAACTGGGAAGCTTGAACACATTAAACTAGGTCCTCAAAATAGCTTAAAAAGTACTAATTTTAGCACACCAAATTTTTTCCGGGGGGGAACACCCGGACCCCCCTTCTTTGCTGGGGGGTATTCTATACCCCCCAGGCCCCCCGGTGACCCCCCCCAAATATATGTCTAGGACCACCCTTGGTGAGTAATTTTGTCCTCTTTTTTGATGGAGGGTCCCTGGGAACCCTACACTCATCTCGCCGTACGGTCAGAAACCGTGCAGGCTTAAGTTAAACAAAAGATAAACACGGCGTAAAAAGTATGGTTTTTAACCGGATGGAAAAACCATACTGTACAGTGTGAACAGAGTGTAAAACCGTGTTTACAGGAGGCCAGTAGGGCATGCAGGTTACTTGCCTCTAGTTTATTTCAAGTTACCTGAGGCAACTAACCTGCCCAACAGCTGGCCTCGTGTAAACGCGGCTTTAGGGATGGCCGTACTAATAAATGCAAGACAGGTGACACATACAGACACAAAGTTAGGCCAATCAAAAGTCACTAATATTTGCCATCAAGTCTAGCCTACTTGGTAAGTTTATGGTGGGTGGCATAAGTTTAGGCCATAACATCAATAGTTTAGTTGTCCTCTATTTGTAATTAAAATTAATTTCATATTTAAGTTAGTGAAGTTGTAGCTGTTTGTTTCAAATTATTATAATATACCTTAGGTATCAGATTTTGACATAAGTAAGTTAACTTAAGTTAGGTAGCTAACTTAAAGATTAAACAACTTAAAGAAAAAATTAAAGTAGCAGAACCACTAAGTTACTAATTTAAGTTTGAACCAATGGTGAAAACGTATTTAATGCTTTAAAAAAATTTAATTTTCAATTAAAAACTTAGTACTTGTGTGAACCTGCCAATAACTCACCAACAAGTACATAGGTTTGCGGAAAAATATACTTGTGTGAACCTGGCAATAACTCCAGCCATAAGTAGTGCGCGCGCCCGAAAAATCTATTGCTGGCCGATTTGCGGCAAAATACGGCCGCGT